CTCAGGATATAGAGCACATGTATAATATAAAATATGTACCATACATGTGACTTTCCGACCATACCATACTTCTTTGCTCAATCATACAATACTTATTAACTTAGGACCCATAAATACGTAGTACATGTACAGTACCCCCAAAAAGTAACGTCCGGTCCAACATTATATAATAAAACATATCAAAAATGGAAATTTTCAAACTATGTATATATCTAAATTTTATATCATTTTAAAGCTAATTGATTGTATTTTTAAAAAAATAATACATGGCAACTTGAAATGCAGGGACTGTTTTGATTGGAAAGTATAAAATTTTTCTCACGCATTATATATGAACAAATTTTTCCCACGCTTTATACATGAAAATTGAAAATTTCAAGTTATATATATATATATCTATATTTCTATTAGTAATTATTTCTAAATATATATTATTTTAGAGCTAATCAATTAGATTTTGAAAAATGAAGAGTAATTTATAAAATCAACAAAAAATTTTATAATATAATTTTAAATCGGGCGTTATTTTTGGGGTACTGTACATGCACTACGTATTTATGAATCGAGCCAAGAAGTATGGTATGGTCAGAAATCACATGTATGGTACTGATGTTATACTATACTCTATACCTTGAGCCAATAGCGTAATCCAAATCTATACCAAATAACGCTTTTGTAATTGGGCAAAATATAAATCGTTTGGGAGTCAAATCAGCTCATATGAGCCTAAATTAAAGTAATAGTATGACTAGAGTTAAGGTTGATGTTGGGGATAAGGTTAGCATTAGTCAAAAGTTTCTAAATCCACAAATATCCCACCTCCACTTAAAATATTTAAAACCGCGCGGTTAACCGCTGACTGAAAATAAATTTTTGTATTGGGATATGCTGCTTTCTAACTTGAATTTTTTTAATAATTTATTATGATGAATGTGTTATTTAAATTTTGTTAAAGTTAGTCACATGTAATATTCTCATTTTTAGTAGATTTTCATTTTTCATGTGTAATACAGTTCACTCTGGTTATAACAAACTGCTTGTTCTGGGGTATTTGGTTCGTTATAGGGTGAGTTCTTCTCTCTGTATACCGAATAGTTCGGTATATAAGCTGACCAAGAGAATTAAAGACATGTGATCGTGATACCGAATACAGCAAGTGTGACTATCTCGCATTTTAGTGATGAAGATCTAACAGAGATGGTAAATGACCCAAATGACTCAAATGACTCCAATGACTCCAATGACAAATGACCAATGGCTGGTCATTTTGAAGGTCGAATGACCAAATAGAATGGTTCAAATTGTGTTGTATTTTGGCACATTATTCTATAGGCATAAAGTACCATTGATAAATATTTATCCCAGTCTTCTTGATATAATTGTACATATTTTGCTAAAGTAATACACAAAGTTCGATTGAGTCTTTCTACACCTAACTAGTCATTTCAAAAAGTCAAGTGATCTCAAAATCTTCTTTATTCAATAAAATTGAACTTTGTAACGTCATTATAAAAACGACTCACTGAAATTCTATTGGTTGAAAAATAAATCACATGAAAAATGACCTAAATGACCTAGGTCAGTTCGATATCATTTACCGTCACTGAAATTTAATACACGTTTACTATAGCTTGATTTAACGAACGAATATCTTTAGCTATCTTTAGCGAACTATTTGTAATTTTTTCTTATGTTTCCCAAGCATAATATCGAATGTAACATTACGTGGTCGATAGAAATTAATATTTTAGATTAGAATGTTAGTATAAAATAATGCAACAAAAGTTTGAATAAATAACCTATCTTCCAAATCTAAAGACACAGTGTCATCTATATACACAAGTGGGATGATATATGTAACATGGTGGACGGAGTTCGATAATGGTAACACGGACTAAAAACCACATCGATATTGCTCCTATAAATGTATTCTTGTGATTTTCACGTGATCATTCAGTATATCGAAATAATAGCGGATTTGGCGGAACTAATTCCGGGTGCGATAATTAGTTCGGTGTAATCAGTTCAGTTAAATCGGTCCCGCAAATTTAGTATATATATACCTTATAGCCAGTGTTGTCACTTGGACGTAAATCCAGCAATTTGATTGGTCAGGACGTTTGTCCCAACCAATCTAATTGCTGGATTTACGTCCAAGTGACAACACTGGACTTATAGCGATAGCCAGGTTTCGGTTCATGTTGACTGTGTAACTACGTATATTTATATGTGCGTCGTTTCGGATTCCAAAACGATACACGTCAATCCAGAATCGACGTGAATTCCGAAACGACGTATAAACTTATACATGATAAGTATAATTAAAAATACAATTCAGCAATTTTTAGTTTTTTCTTATTAATTAATGATATTTAAATTCTATTTATTATAGGATTGTAGCAAATAAGTAAAATAGGGAATATTTCTTAAGAAAGCTCGATTATTACTCAACTCTACAATTTTAATTTGGAAGTAACTATTTTCCCGACAACTGTTTCCCCGACACGACGTTTCTTTGACGCCATATCCATTTTGCCGAAAAAATGTTTCCCCGAAAAAAATTTTCGAATACGAGTTGAAATCGTTTCTCAAAATATTCTTTCGCAATTTAATCACTCAAACGTTAACTTTCTATTCGAAGAATTGAAATCAACTCTCAAATATTTTTTGTAGTCGGGGAAAAATTCCATGACCGTTATATACGCATTTATATCATGACAAGAGGGTTGTAAATGAGCAAAACGTGGATTAAAACATTGTAACGCCCGGAAAAGAGGAACAACTAAATGCAAATTTTCATTGTTAACGACGGAGTTACCTCACATTACTGTTGTTTGCTTGTTTCGATTCATTCGTGTCGCAATAGGCTGATTATGGATCTTAAAAACTCGAGGTCATTTACAAAACTAACAAAACAATTAGCTTTACTCTGTTTTTCTATTATAATAAAATCGAAAAAAATCTCCTTAAATACCTGCATGCATTATTACAAATAAATTCCACCGCGATATCTAACCATAATAATTTTGAACTACATTAGATGCCTTGGTGATTCATTATCATGCAATTGATTTTAATGTAAAGGAAATAAGAAGTTAAAAATTAAAGCAAATGTTTTAACGAGTTTTTAGGTGGAAGTGAAGGATTTAGTTTAGCATTTGAAGAAATATAGATAAATACAGTATTTAACACGATAACAATCTTATCAAAAGGAATTCTGTAGTAATCAGGCTAGCTATAGATACATATAACTGAAACTATGTTTACAGTGTTATTGCAACCAATTTTTTGACCTATACTTTTATCTTTGATAAAGTGTTTCATAGAGTTGTGGTAAAATTTTTTCACAAAGTTGGCTTCTCCTAAGAAAAAGAAATAATATCAACCATTAATACAGTCAGGCTCAATTCTAGTGTTTTCTCGAGCTTGCATTGTAGCGATATCTTGGAATTTGATTACCAATTCATCAGTAAGTGCTCCTAACGGTTCGGTTTCGGTTTAGTTTTCAGTTTTTGGTGATATAATTTATAAATATAATGTCAGTATATAGAATAACTATTGTACTTCGCTTAATGCATACTTTGATAAATTCGTTTAAAAGAATGTGACTTTAGAGGAGGTGGACTGTATTGGTTTTAATTTTGTTTTCGGTTCAGTTTTTTCGGAGCACTATGTACAATAGTTTTTCAGGAAGTATTTAGACTTATCTAGTATGATGCAAGAATTTTCATCTTTATATACACTCCCTTCTCAACAAGTTTTTTATTCCAAAGCCCTACTTCTAACAATTTGTATACGGTGCATAAAATCTAAAGTCAAACGTTTGTATTTTATAAAATGTATAAACTTCTTTACTAAGAAGTAAATACAAAATGTAATCCGTGAATATGCTCAGAAAAGGCCTATTCTATCATATTCACGGATTAAATTTTGTATTTACATGTATTTATTAGTAAAGAAGTTTATACATTTTATAAAATACAAATGTTTGATGACTTTAGATTTTATGCACCATACACGTGTTATTATGCATCATAATGATGAAACACCACCATTCGAATCGCCTCATTAAGAGGAATTCAATGGTAAAATTTTCATCTTTGTATTGGCTCTATTCGTTGAGAACGAGAAGCTTAAGAAACGTTATAATATTATATAATACAATGATTTAGTAGAACATAGCAACCAAAGGTCGTACGAAATTGAAAATATCGTCATTTGGATCACCTCGTCAAGAGAAATCCAATGGTGAAATTTTATTATTGTATATACGATCTTTATTTGCTAAGAACAGGGGATTTTTTTAATTGGCAAATGTAAACTTTTTAAAGGGAGCGTATCTATATTCTTCTGTTCCTTTCTGGAGGATTGAGTTATTATGTTCATGTTTTGTGCTATAATAATAGATTTTTTCACGATTAAATGCTTTTTGCGATAACATTATCCTATATTAACAAAGAAATTTTCACAATTGTTTTAGTCTTTCAGCAGCCGAAACCATTTTTTAAACATTTAATTTTTGCGTTATTACTACTACATCGATATTAGTATTACAGTAATTTTGAAAACATGGAAACTTGTTCAAAATAAGAAAACCACGTGAAAATTATGCTAATTTGCCAAGATATTTCATCACTGCTTTTAAAAAGCATTAATACAATACAATATCGATAACTAGGGAGATGATCAATTGCATCAGGTAAATGTACTCCGCACCAATAACGATAAATGAATTACATATCAGGAAGATGTTTTATTGCGGTATCAGGTAATGTACTCCGCACCAATAAATGAACTTGTTATATTGCATGGGTTTGTGCCTACGAATCAGATAGTTTTCTAGAAGAAAGAAGAGACCCATATTGAAGAAGCGACGCGAATAAAAATAGATTGTGGCAAAATAAGTCTTGTTCAAGACGCAAGAATTAACGTATATACAGTACATGTATATAAGAAGGCTTTCTTTCTTATTTCTTGCCTTAGCAAAATAATAGCTAATAATGAGTAATACGAATGCTACCACCAGAACGACTGTTGCTAATAATGCTGCCAATAATGCGACTAGGACCGTAATTAATCGCACGGCGGAAAACTCGGTAAATTCATTTTCTTTCGTGCCAGCACATTACGCCGTCTCTGAAACGAATTCTCTATTACAACGTGCATGGATGCCAAATAACAGTAATGCCAACATTCAAACGCAAAACGAGATGTTTTTTACGGAAGGTACAGTTTTCCAAGAGTCTGGCCATGGAATAGATTGCACTTTCCATCATGTCGGCATTGTGCCAAATATCAGAGACAATCCATGAAATGTATGTTTATTAACGTTAAAGTTATATTATAAGATTATAAGATACGTATTTATAGTATAGATAACGATAAGCATATTGACCGAGATTCTTAGAAATAAAATGTTTAAATAAATAACGTTTACCTGAAATTCATATCATCTAATTTGCCGAGGTACTTGATGACTTGTTTAAAGTGGTAATAGCAGTGTTGTCAATGGAAGCATTCAGAAGTTCATTAGAAGGCCATTAGAAGCAAAATTAATATTAAATTGAATGTTCCAAGTATTCAATACAAATACATCAATACGTTATTTTAGAAGATTTTTGTAGCATAATACGTACAAGACAGTATACGTAGTACAGTTTATTGTTATGCTATTCCATATTGATATTCTATCACTATACAGTCGATTTTCGATATAATGACGTGCAGATTCTATTGAATTCATATTGTTTACAATAGGATCTGATTTGCACGTCGTTATATCGAAAGTCGACTGTAAATGACATGAACGTACATAAGTTACGTGAATCTCGTGATTATATAAACAACAGTTTTTAGGTCGAGACAGTGCTTAACGTTAATCATCTCTCCTTTTCCGGGCCAGTGCGACGAATCACTTGTAAATGTACTAATCAGGTGATATCACCTAATTGTGCAGTCAATAATTCATTTGTAAACAATGCCATGATAGCGACTTGGATGTGCCAAAAGTTAATTTTTAATATATATAACGATAAGAGAAGGAATAATTAGTTTTTGGATACTGTTACACTGGTAACATAAATGTTTTTTGGAAACGCATTGTTTTTTCCTTTCTCTTTTTATTTACGTCAATCACTTCTAAAAAAATTTACACCGCAAATTACACCATAAATTACGCCATAAATTACATCATAAATTACACCGTGAATTACACTGTAATTCGTTCAATAATTTCTTCCTGTAATATGAAAACAAAAAATGTATATAATGAGAGCGAGAAAGAGCAATTAAAAGAGAGAATTGGCAATAAGCAATTGAAATCCTTAAAAATATAAGGATTTGCCGAAAAAATGAGATAATTGTTTTAACAACTGTAACGAATGCGATTGGTTTTGGTCCACAAAAAGTGGTTGTGTTATTAACATTTGTGAATACGTGGACGATGACTGAATGCAACAATAGCTGAAGATATTGGCACGGGACTCTAGCAAAATTAGGTAATAATAAAAATAATCTTAGTCTAACTCGTTTCTCCCAAGTTACAGATTAGCAGCCTAATTCCTATAATCGGTCCCTAACCTGTAACAATACTAAAAACAAGCCTTATAATAAATCAATCTTTATTCTCTATTCCTTTATATTAAAGCTTGTGGGATACATCATTATTATAAATAAAATTATATTTGCATCAATACATCGATTATAAATTTTTCCGGCACTGACTCGGAAAAGGTCCGAAGGCTTCCCGTTTTTTGGTGGCGATCCAATGTCACGTTTTTGTAATCACCAATAAATAACGATATTTAATCACATGTAATAATGCATAACAATTTATTTATTACATGATTCACATTTGACACTATGATAATATAGCATTTAGCATAGTGCCGGCCTGAATTATAATAAATGCCAACCAATAAAATCACGTTCATGTGATAAATATTCACGTGATTTGTTTCAGATTTGGACCGAAGTGACCAAATTTAAACGTCTAACTTTATCTAGGGCTTTGTTTGAAAATTTGACCAGCAATTTAATAGAACTTGAAGAATAAAGTCACTCGTTTAATTTTCTAAATTCCATTTTTGTAAAGTGTTGAAAGGTTTTAAAAATAATTCACTTTATTGTTGAGTTATGATTTCCGGCATCATAACACCTATGTTTTTTTCACAAGTGAGATTAGTTCATTATTGCAGTTATAGCAATTTTTAAAAATAAAACAAATATCCAAGGAATGTAATTAAAATTGATTTCCAAACTAAACTCATGAAGCATAGGATACACAATTTCATCATAGGGTAGAAAGTCTGGTGCATAAAATCTAAAGTCATCAAACGTTTGTATTTAATAAAATGGATAAACTTCTTTACTAAGAAATACAAAATTTAATCCGTGAATATGCTCAGAAAAGGCCTATTATATCATATTCACGGATTAAATTTTATATTTACTTCTTAGTAAAGAAGTTTATCCATTTTGTTTATACATTTTATTAAATACAAACGTCTGATGACCTTAGATTTTATGCACCATACCCAGCATAATTATCATGTCATGTTTAAATTCATGATAGCATAAACAGTTCAAACTTATAAATTTATGTGTTTTGTATTATATTCATGTGAGTAGGTACTAAATTAGATAGTTTCTTTAGAGTAAATTACGTGAATTTAATAATAATCAACATTATTAAATTTCATGGCCATATGAAATTATGAGACATCTAAAAGTTGACATAACGTATTTAAACAATAATCGAAACGTTATGCTTATTGTGAAATTAAAGGAGGTCCTTTTAAGTTTGCTTCCGGTCAAAACTATAATATTTAATATAAAGTATTAAAGAATTTACATATTTATATAATCAATTATTAAATTCATGAAACATCAAAATTATCGCTTGTGCTCTCATTACCAAGCGCTTTATCATCTGATATTATCTGTAGAAAAAATGGAAAATCTTCCCGTAGCCAACCAAAAATCTTCATGTGCCGGTACTGAAATATCGCAAAAAAAATTGGATTTTGGCAATGGACGAAGGTAAAGTCCAAAATTATGCAAATCTATCGAAGAAGTGTCCTCTGTATGTACTAAATAATTCCATTCCGTTGCTTGCGTTGATGATGTATTGATTTTTTCTATAGCCCATCGGTAGAATTCAGTTGTCGTTTTAACAGGATTCATTGATGTGGCAGATGTTTCAATTATTATAATGTCGTCGTATTGTTCTTTTTCCTTTTCCAATTGTTTGCGTGATAGTTGAGAATTTGTTTCATTGAAAAGGACTACAAATTTAATGGTGTATAAATCGCATATTTTCGATTCTTTTAGTTGCTTCATCAAAAGCCGACGTAAATGCGCTCGTCGATAAAAATTCCTAGGGTCATTCATAATTCCTAATAGAATTCCAACATTAGGAAATGATTCAAGCGATTCATACGTCAATTTTAATTGCTCATGATATTTCTGACATGAGTTTACTTCATTACGCTGTGCCTGATAAGGATAAGGATCCGTAAAAGGATAAGCAGTTTTGGTGTTGAGACTTGTTTGACGAGGAAACAACTGGCATAACGATAACGATAATAGCAAAACAATCGTTAATGCCATCAGAAAGACAAACAAAACATGAAGACGACTTGGTGGCATTCTTGTTTGCAATTAAAGTGTAAAAGAATGTATGTAAAAAGTTCTTTATGTTATATTGTAGTAAAGTTGTTTTAAAATATGAAAATACAGTAGAAATCAATGAATGTTAGCAATTTGAACACACCGATACTTGCACAAATCATGTTATCGTTATGTTTTAGCACATGTACAACAAAACGTATCGATATAGCATTGCCTTTGTCTATCATGATTTAATACATGTACGACCAAATTACATGTACGTACAACATGAATAATAAAATCACATACGTACGTATTCAGAAATTCCATTTTGCGAGAACGTTCCTAAATATCAGTATGCATGAATCATTAAAAATAGGTCACAACAATAACATTATTAATAGTACGTACGTACCTATAATGTAAACTCGAAATTTCTAGGCTAACGCATAAATACTACTAAACATAGTAAGTAAACGACAACAATTTCACAAATGAACGTAAACTATTGTAACAAATGATAATTGAGTTTCTTTCTATATGTATTTATATTTCAAAAGTTATATGTAATTACCTTAAATTGTTTAAAATAATTATTAATCGATGTAATAACGTGTTAGGATCAAAAGAAACATTATGTTCTACAAGAGGATAACCTGAATAAACTAACAATTAAAAAGATCGAATTATTATTAATAAAGAATAAAAAACACTGTCTCAAGAATACTTTCAAATTCAATTTAAGATTACTTTCAAATTCAATTAAAGTATAGAGAAAAATTTTGAGATTCCTACTTCTGTATACAAATCACATACAAATAAATATAAATATACCGGTATTTCCGCAACTATAAACTGTTTAATCAGGTCAGGTTTAAGTATTCAACAATTGTAAAGGTGAGCCAAGAATCATATGCATCACAATTAGTCTTTTTCACAATTTAATTGATATCAGACTCTGTGAATTTTGACTTTAAGCCCTTGTTTTTAAATACAATTTCATCAGTATACAAATTTCATTATGAAATATTTAATTTACATAGCGAACCGTTAAATTTAACTACATAAAATGTCAGATATTTACTAACTAAAGTGGTCAATATCAAATTTAACTAATGCAAACTATTTAATCTAATTGATTGATATGTTTAGCATAATTTTTCCGTGCGAAATGTTAAATTTAATATTAAAAATGTCAAACATTTAAATTAAAAATAATATTACATGTATATACAGGGTAAATACATGGAGTAACAATAATAAATATTGTTAATAATATCAAATTTAAATAATAAAAGTGTCACAAATACATGTACATGTATTTTGAGATCATACTTTTCTACATGTAATTGGTTTGTTTGTAATCCAAAAGATACATGTAATTTGTGGCCATCATACAGCCCAAATCTTAATTCAATCGAAAATATTTGGGCATTCTTCAAGCACAATATTGAAAAATAATTTTTGCGCAAAAAAAACGTATCACAGAAGGTTTTGTGTAGTTAGTGGAGGAATGGGAGAATATTCCGGTAAGTCCAAAATCAAGCGATTTGAGCTAAATTATTAATTAATATATTTCTAGGGTGAAGGTCACGATGCACAAATTTCTTACTATGAATGTTATTCAATTCTCTAATAATATTATTTAAATGTTCTGATTTTTGTTCCCAAGTTGGAATTTATATACATGTACATGTATTTGGGTAGATCGCCATCTTTTGCATAATCCATCATCACTATCGAGTATTCATTTGTAGCTGGGTTTTTAGTTATTCCATAATAACCATAACTGCACTTTAGAGCAGTCAGAATCTAATTTTGAAAAGTTAATTAGATTGAAAAATAAAAAAGCAATATTCTTACACTTAAAAAGGTGTTTATTTACCTCGTTTATAAACTCGGATGTAATTTGCTTTGAATTGTGTAATGATTCAACACAGCTTCTTTGTCTTTGTTTCGTTCCCATTTATTCTCTCTATCCAATGGTCCATCCAACCAGGATGCTTTATAAATTGATCCGAAACCTCCATTTGCAAGATATTCAACATAGGTAAATCTTTCAAAAGGATCCATTCGAATACTCTATTGTTATTAATATTATTGCATTCATTTATTAGACTGTCGATATATTTATTTCCACTAGACCATTCAACATAAATTCGTTTGTGATGTTGAAAACATCCATCACAGTACTCATTATTTTAACAATCGGTACATTTATACAATTATGAGTATTGTGAACTGAACACTCATCGCAGTACTTGTACACTTTACAATCCCAACAGTTCTTACTATAATCATGAATATTGTGAACTGAACACGCTTTGCAGTAGTAATTGTTTAGACAATTGAAGCATTCACTACAATCATGAGGAATAATAAATGGAATCTTTGAGTTGAATAGTGATGATGGCAGTGATTTATGTCCAAAACGAAGATTTATATGTGGTGGAGTGGAAGTCGT